TTGGTAATTAGTTTTTAATGTGAGCTGTTACAATGTTGTATTGCAGTTTACGTATTGGTATCAATAAATTTGCGTTTACTCAGTGATCGTCCTGGTAGCGTGAATATTTGGTATCGCTCGCAGTAAAGTTCGCCCGCAAAAGCATCTTAGTCAGTGGTCGCGACGGCTGGGACGTGGGATTTTCGTCGATACGAATCTCGCCTGCACGCCCTCCTCGGTTGCCCCAAGGCTAAAACGCTTACAGTAAAATATCGTGGCTCTCTAAATGTACCACTGATTTACGAACTTTCGTTTGGAACAGCGAATCCGCATCTAAGTGCATGTTTGGACAACAAAATGAGCATTGTATCCGCACCGGAAGACCTAAAATTCTTTCATCGCCACAAAGACGATAACATCTTACCACAAGAAACAGACCCTTATGCATCATTTGTTGTCGATTGGAACATCAGAAATGAATCTGCTAAACGGAAGTCCAAGCTATCAGATAGAGGAAAGGTTTTCTTTAAGGAAACCAGATCAAAAAACCGAAAWTTGGCCTTCAAAAAGTTAAAAAGACAAATTGATCTTAGCAAAGAACTATGCAATCATCCGGAACGTGACGTAGAGTCGCTGGAGTCAGAAAGAAACAAATTAGACTCATTGAAAGATGAGCTTAATGAGGCGCAACGAGTATACGATGAGATCCTGGAAACGTAAACAGAAAAAGAAGAGTCCTACCGTTGGTTTGATATAAGAGATCGCGAATACACCGAATGTAGGTTAAGAATTTGCGAACAGATTCAAGCTTTCGATAGAGCCTCATATCGAACAAAGTCCGTAATATCCGGTGCTACGTCGCGTAGTMCTAGTGAGAAATCTCGCTCATCAAAGTCAAGTTCATACAGGTCGTCATTTTTACCCTTACCCGAAGCCATAGCTAACGCAGCCACCAAATCAGCTAAGTTGAAAGTTGAAATGGAATTCCTCGAGAGAGAAAGGGAGTTCAAGCAGATGCAATTGGAAAAAGAAATTGCTTTAGCTCATGCCGAAGAACAATCTTTAAAGAAAATGTTAGATGAAGAAATTAAATCTGGCGACGCACAGAAATTTGTCCACGATACTAAGGACAAAAAAGGTTTTAAGACTGATGAAGTGCGAAAGAGCCCTCGGAAATTGAATCCGCAAGTCTCCCCATACGAGCCTAAGTATTCAGTCCAGATTCCAACTTTTCCTCAAATCCCGTTTGATCAAATCCCAGAAGTTTATAAACCACTAGAGTCGAAGGGTATGGAAACAGCTCTAAGAGAGATAGTAAAATTGCAAGCGAAGCAAACGGAACTAAGTTCACATATTATTAGTCAACAAAGAGCTGTGCATCTACCAGTTAAAGAGCCTCCAGTATTCTCTGGTGACCCCTTCGAATATCCTGCATTCATCACCGCCTTCGACACTATAATTTCTGCGAACGTACCTTCAGACCGAGATCGCCTCTACTTCCTCGACAAGTACACGGAAGGAAAGGCAAACACCGTAGTCAAAGGTTTTCTAGCGACGAACTCTGACAAGGCATATCAAGAAGCTCGCAAGTTGCTAGACAGTGGCTATGGAAATCCCGTACATGTCGCTGAGTCATACAAATCGCGGTTSAGAAGATGGTCACAATCTTTATGACAGCCTCTTTATGGAAGTTACTTTTCTCGTGCTCTTTGAATTTCTCTACAGCTTTCTTCCAGTTGTTAAATCCCCCAGTAGTAAAGGCTTCCTTCTTTCTTGTACTCATAGATACTAATCCATTCGCCTTTGCATTCATGCATGCGTTGCAAAATGCTTTGAAACTTGTGCTGCAAAGGCTAAGCCATTGGAAAGAGGTGTACCACTCCTTCTTAAAATAACGGGTTTTTTTATTTGCCTGTGAGCCATAAACCTGGCCAGTTTTAGTAAGAAACTCTGTCATCTGGTCTGTTGTATTTCAGTTGACAACAAGGGCAACTGCATGGCTCAACTGTTGGTGATTTTGCCTTTGGGATTTCTGAGCTCTCTTTTTCTAAAGTTACAAAACAAAACATAGGCATGTTTGAACTTTTAAGTGCAGTTCCATTGGCTATTTTATGTGAAATGTGAYCCCTCATTTTGAGGGCATTTAAAAATTTCATTGAACAAATAATATATAAAAGGCGTTAATTAGCAGTATTCATTTTCAAATTAATTATAATAATAATAAGTAAGTTATAGTAATAACAGCACATACTTAATTTGTACGTATAAGACAACGCGAGAAATTAGCGCTGAAACTGCATTGCATTTGACAATGCATTGCAATAGTTCGATGTTTGAAGCTATAAATAATCATAATCGCCATCAGGATGCATCATAAAATCAACAAGCTTCCATTCTTATTTAACTATTTATTTTTAAGTAAATAATCAACAATATACTGATAGCTCATTACTTTCATTAAAAAACTATGCAAAAGCTAGATTAACGTCATATTCTGAACCCAACCTCGCTAAGCGAAGTCTATCAACCCTTGAGCATGAAAGTTTTAAAAAAAGCAATCTTGGAAAATTCTCCAAAAGCATTTTAGCRATGTCCAAAGTAAACACTGAACCACCTAGACCCAAATTAAAAATGCTAGGTATTTGCATATTGGCTATGACTATTTGATTTTCATTTGAAAATGCTAAACCATTTAATGATAGCATTTGTAGTTTTTTCAAATACTTAAGGCTCTCTACTACTCTGTTTTGGTTTAGTTTTGTACAGTTGTCAAGGAATAGATATTCCAAGTTACAATTTTTCCACAAAAAATCAATGTTTGACAATTGATCTTGACCACTYAAGTCTAAATATACAAGTTTAGAAGAGTGAACCAGCCCATTTAAAAGTATCAAAGAATTATTATCTAACTTCACATTTCTCAGTGAAAAGTATTGAAACGCCGACGAATGAGTCATTATTGTTTCYAGCGCTCGTTTGTTGATGTGTGAAATCATCCACTCATCTAYTGGGATCGTACTCCATAGGCTATGTGTCGTGGACACATTTTGCCACCTCTTGCACACTAGACACAAGGAACTCATAATGACTTCAACAGAAGTATATWCAAAGATTTTGAGYAGAATTTCATCTGSTAGCGCTAAAATAGGATAACAAATAGGTCGCAATAAGTCCTAGCTTTGGAATTCATATGATTATCACTGACTTCACCAGCACCAGCCTCCCTTTATCGATAAATAATGACCAGTCCCTAATCATTTGGAATGTTGAAGAAACATTTTAAAAAACAAACTGACTTTTTTAAACGACTAGTACGACTACTTGTAAGCCATAAAAATGACTTCGCTGATTTGATCAACTGACGTATAGTTCAATACAAACTTAACTGGTAATCAGTTTCATAAAAACAAACTTTATATAAGAAATATGGCCTGTGAACGATTGAAAAAGACTGGTGAACAGTGTCAAGGAATTGCGAAATGTCGGATTCGCTTCGAAAAATCGACTCAGTTCACTATTAGAATTCATCAGTATAAAAAAATATTCAATTAAACATTACTCATTTAGTGATTTTATTCATTTTATGCTGTTTATTAAAACTTTTCATTGAGATAACTAACCTTCAAAGGGATTCAGTTCAGTCGATTTATCGTCTTGCTGGGTTTCTCTTCTATCATCTTATTCGTAAAATTAAATTAAAACCACATTAATTTGATTAATCTACACTTAAAAAGCAAATATTTTGTATCATTAAGTATTTTGTCAAAATAATATTTACCTTCCTTGCCTCCTGAATTTGTGATGCTGAAGAACGAAGTAATTTTTCTGCTCATTTTGTTAGCTGTAAGTATAAGCCCACGAGGGATTGCACGAGGAAAGAAATAACTAGAGCCCAGTACTCGCTTTTAATACCGCACAAACAAGTAACGCCTGGACGAATAAGTATATCAAAAATGATGCAAGTCGTCGCTAGATATATCGTATCTTTTTTAGATACAGAAAATTATGTAATATCACAATAATCAATAATGGTAATCATAACCAAATCTCATGCGTTTTTTTGTGTGTGAGGCATTATATTCTGGGGGGCCTGGCCTGGGGGGGCCAAAAAATCTAGTGGGGGGGCCAGTGCCCCCCCCGGCACCCCCGCTTCCGCCGTCCCGCCATTGGCTGTTGCCTACAGCAGTTAAGTCGATACCCTGTGTTTAAGATAGTTATTAATAAAATGACCGAAAATATACCTGAGGAAAGAGGTAGCCGTTGAAAGGTTGCTCCATTCATGAACAAAACTGAACCTGCTGAACCTGAGCGAGGCTCATTTCAAAGAACCAGTGGCTTGATGCTGTGCCTATTCATAATTGGAATTTATCACATTAAGGAAATAAAACCGCATTCCACGGGAAAATAATCATTACCCATTTTTTTAGGTTGCACGGACTTGGAAAATAACGAGAAAGCATATTGCGACAAAACTCGGAACGTACCCCGCAGCGCCAGCACTTGGAAAAACACCACATCTTCATGCGATTTAAAGACTTTATTTTATTTAATTGTGCCATATCCCCCTTCATAATCATAATGTGCCGTCAGGGCAGGCGGATTAGGAGAGCGTAGTATCTTCTGGATCTGGTTTGCCACCTGTCTCTCCTGTTCATCTCCCAAAAGACAAATCATAATGGACGCTAATTGCGCATTGTGAACTAACGGGCGGCACTGTTTGAATATTGCGTCATATTTCACTCTCTTGATGGTTGGAATCACGTGCCACATCAGCCAAGTGCTCTAAAGCGGCTTTTAGAGCGATGAGGTCGATAAGAGGGGCAGGGCGGCTTGCCAGTTTGTCGCACGATGTTGAGCGCCCTCGTAATCCCATCAACCACTAACGTGGATTAGAGTGCTTCGGCTGTTGTTTTCAATGCATTTAATTCCTAAATTTGAAACGGAAAAAATTCACTTTCACAATTGGTAGCACAAGGTCTTAATAACATTCCTGATATTTATTCACGGCATAATGAGTACAAGAAACAATTATTCTTGCTTTACTCAATGTAACAAAGGCCTGTTGAATTGTATAAATGGCATGTAAGAAAGACAAAACATTCTGGCAGTGCATAAATTTACACTTCTATTTCCCTTCACATTTTATTTGCTAATATTATATTTTATTTTAAAATATACAGCGAAACACATTCGCTAGCGAAACCGAGACCCGCCACTAATTATAACCTCAAATATGCAGCGAAACACATTTGCTCCCACTGTAAATACCAGAAAAACTATAACGAACAGCTAAACACATTCGCTAACGAGACCGAGACTCGCCACTAACCTAAAATATGCAGCGAAACACATTCGCTTCCACTGTAAACACGAGAAAAACTATAACGAACAGCGAAACACATTCGCTAGACACGGGAAGAGTACGGGAAGACACGGAGGACCCTATGCAGTCCGTACATCTCTGGGATGGGCGATACTCGGTCCAATAGATAGTGCGAACATTCATTTCTCGCATGTTAACGTTAACTTTGTGAAGAACGGAAGTGAACTATGTGACCAGCAGATGAGTCAGTTTCTGAGACTCGAAGATGCAGACGTGAACAAGATTTCAAGGCAAGCCATGTCCAGTGAAGATCAAGAGTCACTAAAGAGATTTAAGGAGTCAACGTGTGTAGTGGACGGCCACTACGAAGTAGGAATGTTGTGGAAAAGCAACGATCCACGGTTACCTGACAACAAGGGATTAGCTGAAGCAAGGCTACAATGTTTTCATCAGAAATATAGAGACTTTTAGAACAATTTACTAAGTAAAGGCTATGCAAGGAAGCTGATCGAGGAGGAAGTAAGCTCACGAAGCAAGAAAACATGGTACTTACCACATCACGAGGTATTTCATCCCCAAAAGAAGGATAAGATCCGAGTAGTCTTCGATGCTGCTGCGCTATACAATGGCTTTTCGTTAAACAACCAGTTGAACCAAGGACCCGACTTATCCAACAGTCTGCTTGGTGTCTTGTTACGATTCAGGCAAGAGCGCATTGCCTTGGTTGCAGACATCGAAGGAATGTTTAATCAAATAAGGGTCCTACCTGAAGATGCTGATGCATTAYGATTCCTTTGGTTTGAAGACGGCAGCCTTGAAGAAGCAATAGAATATCAGATGACATCTCATATCTTCGGAGCAGCGGACTCGCCTAGTTGCGCAAACTATAGCTTAAAGAGAGTCGCCGAGGCTAACAGAGGTAAAGCTAGTGAGGCAGCTTTAAGTGCTTTTGAGAACGACTTCTACGTTGATGACTTGGTCAAGTCAGTTGGAACTCCAAAGGAGGCTAAGACGTTGGCGATGAGATAACAACCCTGCTGGGCAAGGCCGGTTTCAGATTGACGAAGTGGATGAGTAACTGTCGAGAAGTGCTGCTGGCGATTCCCGAAAAAGAAAGAGCCAAACCCACACTTGATCTTGACGATCTCCCAATACAGAGAACGCTTGGCGTACATTGGACACTGTGCCAAAGAGCTAATATTCAATGGTATTCAAGAATAGTATATCCCCTCGGTACTTTTAGTGTTCTAGGATATTCAAGATACATATTATACTTGAAGTATGCCTGTAGTATTCACAATGAATACTAACACATACCTCACGTACCAAGTATTGCTGGAGTACTCTCAATGGTATACTTGTCATAAAAATATTCTAGAGTATGCAGCTAGCACTCAATGGAAGTTTCTGTAGTATTCTGACAGAATACGTAAACTTAACAACTGATTCTACTACGTCATCGGTCTATGTCACTAGTAAGTCAAGTGAGATATGCGAGCGCACCTTCACAAAGCCCTTCGTTGCATTCGGATGAAAGAAAATGGCGCGCAAACGCCAACAGACCGAACTGGGGGGAAAACGAACAGAAAACGAAGAAGAAGAAATTGAGCTGCTCGGAGAAGAAGAATCCTCAAAGGAAGAAGAGAATGAGGAGGGAAAGACACCAAAGAATACCAGCGACACGCTGGAAAACACACTGGGAAACCTAAACAAGAACATGGAACTCATGGCGGAGTCGATGACTTCGATGCACAAAGCCATGAAAAGAATGGCGGAAACTCAGGATAAAAGTTTACCAAAGAGGAGGAAAGTCGAAATGTCTGACTCAGACATCGATTCAAGCATAGAATCGGAAAATTCCGATGTAGACAGCGACTCGCTACTGAAAGAAAGCCCAGAGACCAAAAAGGGCGGGAAAAACGACCCAAAAGACGACCTAC